TCACTGCCTCAGGTTGTTTCGATGGCGAAAGCCACTAAGTTATTGCGACGAGGCAATTGCCAGGGTTATCTGGTTAGCCTTGTTGAGGATTCTCAGAAAGCGCGGACACCTCATGATGTTCCAATCGTTCGCGAGTTTGTGGACGTATTCCCAGACGAGCTTCCAGGAGGACCGCCCAACCGTCAGGTGGAGTTTTCTATTGATCTTACCCCAGGGGCCGGTCCAGTATCCAAAGCCCCATATCGCATGGCGCCTAAAGAATTACAGGAGCTTAAGACCCAGATTCAGGAGCTATTACGACTCGGTTTCATCCGACCGAGCGTGTCACCATGGGGAGCAACCGTTCTCTTTGTCAAGAAGAAGGACGGATCTATGCGCATGTGTATCGACTACCGAGATCTCAACCGGTTGACGATCAAGAATAAATACCCGCTTCCCAGGATTGACGACTTATTTGATCAGTTGAGGGGAGCCTGTGTATTTTCGAAGATCGATTTACGATCAGGCTACCACCAGCTGAAGATTAAGGAGTCAGACATCGCTAAGACCGCTTTCAGGACTCGTTACGGCCATTACGAGTTTGTTGTCATGCCTTTCGGTCTCAGCAATGCGCCAGTAGTCTTTATGGACCTCATGAACCGTATCTTTCATCCATACCTCGATCAGTTCGTTATTGTCTTTATTGACGATATCCTTATCTACTCGAAGAGTCAGAAGGAGCATGAGGAGCATCTGAGGGTGGTTCTTGAAACCCTCAGACGAGAGAATTTGTACGCCAAATTCTCCAAATGCGAGTTCTGGCTTCAGCGAGTATCTTTTCTGGGTCATGTTATTACCCAGGCAGGCATCGAGGTGGATCCTTCTAAAGTTTCAGCCGTTCGGAACTGGTCGACACCGAGGAGTCTGTCCGAGGTTCGCAGTTTTCTCAGATTAGCTGGTTATTATCGCAGGTTTATCGAGGGCTTCTCCAAGATTGCCCTCCCTCTTTCCCAGTTGACGAGGAAGTCTGTGAATTTCGAATGGACTGACAGATGTGAGGCGAGCTTTCAGGAGCTCAAGAGGAGATTGACTACAGCACCGGTGTTGACTATTCCCGATCCTTCTCGGAGTTTCACTATCTTTAGCGATGCTTCGATACAGGGCTTGGGATGTGTCCTTATGCAGGACGGACGGGTCGTCGCGTATGCTTCACGTCAGCTTAAGCCTCATGAGCAGAACTATCCTACGCACGACTT